AAAACATCGACGTGAACTTTTAAAAAGATGATTGATTTTTGAGGGGAAAATTGGTTGTTTTTAAGGGATTTTTTTTTGGGTATTTTGAACCAGGGATGGCGGAACTTTTGTCCAAAAAGATATTTGAGTTAATTAGCTGGTACTCTCTAACAATCCGATCTTTTCTATTTATATCTGATTTTCGATTTCTTTCATTTCATCATAATTTAATTGTAAATCTCTTCTTGGATTTTTTAATTCAATGCAATTTAGTCATATATATACATTCAAATTACTTTTAATTTTCCCTTCTTTCTTCAATGTGCATAATTATTTTGTGTGTGTATAAATATATAAAGTAATGATGTACATATAAGAAGGGAAAATTAAAGTAATTTAAATGTATATATTAAAATTGTTTAATTTTCCCCTAACTTTTAAAATGAATGCAATTCAATATATTTTTATATTAATTTCAGTTTCATACTGTACAATTATTTAATTTGGTCCCTACGTGCTGTGTAATTTATTTAAATATTAATTTGTTCAATTTAATCCTTAAAAATATATTTGTATATGAAATTGGCCCATACTTATTTATTTTTGTAATTTACTTCAATTTTGTCCTTAAAATTATATTTCTATATGAAATTGGCCCATACTTATTTATATTTCGATTTGATCCCTCATACATGTGTGTTGTTTAATTTTTTAAATTTTTGTTTGTAATTTCTTGTTTGTTCAATTTAGTCCTTAAAATTAGATTTTTATTAAAATTACCTCACAATTATTATATTTTTTGTAATGTACTCCAAATCATATACAATTAAAATTATAAATCATCGTTCATGAAAGACGAAATTAATTAACCAAAAAATGAGTCGACCTGAAGTCAATCCATACACGGTAAGATCCGACCTGAATTTTGTATTTCCAATGATGTGACCTGATGTGAACGAGATTCGAAATGATTAACCTGGAATTTAATTGATTCCGGCCTGAAACATTTTGACCTAATTGGGATCCATCCGATCTGTATTAATCTGATTCCAACCATAATTGAATATGATGTTTAAATCAACCTGAAAATGATCCGAATTGATTTAATCCAGAACTAACATGATCTGAGTCGAACTATCAAATTGACCTAATATTTATATCTGATTTGACCTGACTTGATAGTACCCGACCAAAACGTGAATTTTACATCCATAGTGCTCCCATTTTCTTACGAAAACCGTAGAAATTTTTATTGTATCATATAATTTTTTTTATTGTCTTATATAAATTTTGGTTTTTACTTTAAATTTTTTTTCAAGTTTAGTTTATTGTCAACTAACCAATTGCTAGATGCTCAGTGTTACTATTTTCATTAGATCTGGCGGGATGTTAATATTGTTTTGCTACAGAAACTTTATCTAATTATACACTTATACTATTTTAATTGAAAAGTTATTTTTTATAATATTTTTTGGGTGTCCTCCAATTCCAAAGTCTTGTTTTGATTTTGGATCGACCTGATAAGGGCGAACATCATGTGGGCCAAGGGGAGCCTTGGCCCTGCAAATTATTATTTTTAGTATTAATTATTTTAAAATATATATTTTTTTAAAAATAATAAATAAAATTTTACCAAGTCCCTCAACTAAAAAAGTTGTATTTATGGAAATAAAAACATTTTGATCCCGCTATAATAAATTTATAGTTCCATTCCTGCGACCCGGGTCGTACACCTAGCTTTGGTGGATGAGTCTCTCGTAGGATTTTCTTCATACATAAAGACTCAACTTGAGACATTAGTTAACATATTAAGTTGCTTACCACTTGAACTAACTCTATTATTATTATTTTTTCTTAAGCGATATCAATGATTATCATCATTGATAATATCAATATTTTTACAAGAACTTAGATTTAATGTATTGAATAATATGTTAATTTAAGAATAATAGACATTTGAAATTTCAATTATTATGCTCTTGATCTTTATTAGGAATGAAATTTTAAATTAAAAAAATAAAAGACAATTTTCATGATTATATTCAAATTGTTTTAATTTTTTACTTGCAATATAATAAATAATTTTGAATATTTTCAGTAGTTTGATTGTTGAAGAGCTACTCTTATATGATTCTGTAAGAATATGTAAAATATTAAAATAATGGTTTTACAGTCCAGCGGATCTACCCGGTCGGGTACAAAGTAATTTCCAAAAATATAATATTATTAATGATTTCATGATATATATTCATAAAGGATTGACATGTAAATGTAACACGTCATCTCTGACAATTCAAGGATTATTATTTTCCAGACACGCAGGGGATGAGAAATTGGGAATTCCAATTTCTTTAATTACAGGGCAAAAACATTAAACCCTATTTATATTTTAATAATTTATCAATAGTTATATAGCAAATAATTTAGTTGTTTCTTAAAAATACAATTATGTGTTCCGATTAATAAACATGCAAAAACTAATTATATTGTACAATATTTTACTCGTCATAAAATTTGTAAATTTTAATTAAGAAAATTTTAGTTAGATTATTAAATTTTAAAAATACAGTATACTGTTACACTTACTAGGGATGGACATGGGTTAAGTTTGGATTGAGGTTTGATCAACCAGACCCAACCCGAATCGACATGAGTTTAGGCGTTACTTCACCTGACTCAAATATAACCCGACTTTTTGATATAAAATCTGAACCCGACTTGACCCGATATATATATATATATAATATATATATTTATATATATATATTATTATTTTTATTAAACAAAGATCTAATTGAAAAAATATATATGTAGATGGTTATTATTATAATTATTCTTAAATATATACGTTAATTTAAATTATTTTTCGGGCCGGATCGGGTTGAGTATTTTTATCCTAAACCTGACCCGGCTCAACCCGAATATATCCTCTAAAAAATTTTGATCCAACTCTACCTGAATCTAATTTTTAATCTCATTGATCGGGTCAGATCGGACCCAGACCCGTCGGGTTCGGTTGCAGTGCTCATCTCTAATTGTTAAGCAATGAGAGATGACACGACAATTCAAAAAATAAGTAAAATATATCATATTTTACTTAATTATTAGTGAGATAGATAAGTCATTAAATTTTAAAAAGTTACAAATAGGTCACCCAATAATTGATTACGATATATATGTAATTGTGTCATTAAAATTAAAATGAACGTTAATTTTTTAGTTATAATAAAATCATTTAATTTATTTAGTGTTATGATCATATTACTCAATTTTAATTAAAAATATTTAATATACACTAAAAAATATAGTTTGTTTGTAACAAACGTCATGAACAACTCGTTTGTTATTTTTCAAAATTTAATCATCCATTTATAATTTTATTAATAATAAATAACATGTAATGTATTTTACAGTTATAAAATTAAGAAAATAATAAATTTAGTCCTTTGTTCACCCTTTAATACGCATTTTACATATTAAACCTTTAACTTACTAATTAAATAAAATTTTAAAGATTAAATTTATTATTATATTAATTTTATAAACTATCATACTATCGTATAAAAGTAAATGATTTTATAATTCTGGATATTTAAATGATCTGATTCAAATAGGTTCCCTCGAAAATAACTCTGGGAATGTAGAGTAGAAATTAATATGATAAAAAAATTGATAAGGTCATCAAAACAAGATGAGCGAAGACGCTCAATAAAAAAATAAGATTTCTTTTTTTCCCAACCAAATTCGATTTTTTTATTTATTTTTCTTATAACACGACAATTTTAAATTATCGGGTTTCTTGAATAAAACATCAGTCTACATTTGATACTTTATAACATTTTATCAATATTGTGATTAATTAAAATAATATATAAAATTACTATCTAAATAGTTTTCCTAACAATAAAGAAAAAAATGAATTTAGTGTTTTATGAGATTAAACTAACGAATAATATTTTTAGGTTTAAAATAGGGTAAACTACAAATTTCATCACTAAACTTTACCCTTTTTTTCCTATTTTATTCATTAAAATTTAAAAAAAAATTCAATTTTCTCACTAAACTTAATACATTCATTTTTTGGTCATTCTACCGTTAAATAGTTAATGGCGTTAAAACGATGTCATTTTAAAAAAACAAAAGTTTCACTAGAATGACATCATTTTGCATCTTTATAAAAGTCTATTTATAACGTCGTTAGTGAGAAAACGGATGAGTGATAAAAAACACAATGTATTAAGTTCAGTGAGAAAATTAAAAAGATTTAAAGTACAGTGAGTGAAATAGTAGAGAGAATAAAGTTTAGTTGCCAAATTTGTAATTACTTACAAATAAATCAAATAATGGTAAAGCAATCTAATTAGCAATATTCACGCGCTTTAATTTTCTAGTAAAAAATCATAACCTAAATTCAAGGCTCTAAATTAAAGGATAAGGTATATGTTAGCTGTCCCCACCTAAGAATTCCACGTCTGTTCTAATCCGTAAAGTATTTTCAACACACGCGCTCATAATTACGGGTGAATATCCTACTTTTTTTCTATTTATTTTAGTTTCAGAAATTAGAATAATAATAGCGCGCCGCGTCAGTTTTTTTTTTTTTTTTATTTTCCCCTGCGCCCATAATTTCCCGAGAAACAAACAAGCTTCGGCCATCATAACTCTCCAGTTGTTAATTTTTCTCCAATCAAACAGTGGTTTAGATAACTGACTTTGTCCCGGAGTTTATCCATTTGCCTCGTTCTTAGAAAAGAAAAATATCTCAATTCTTTTTTACTTTTATCTTCTGATAAAAGGGTTTAGAAAAAAAATCATATTAGAATTTTCGATTGGAATTTTTTTTCCTGAAACAATAAGGATGAGAAGAGAACTGGAAAACCGTGGACGTCAGGATCAGCAATCGAGGGTTTTCTACGAACTGTCGGCTTTGGTTCTGAACCTTATACAGTCGCCGCCGTGCCTTTCACCGTCGGTGCCAGAAAGGAGGGTCTCATCTGCGATGTATCGACGATATCTCCGGCGGGAGGGATATCGATTTCGATGATGCTGTGTGGATCGGTTACTTTCTTTATAGGGTTCATGTTGTTACCTTGGGTTATTGGCGTGTTCATGGTGTTTTACGTTGCTGGGATTATTTCCGCGATTTCCATGATGGGTCGTTCTATTATTTGTTATGTCTTGTCCCCTCCTTCGCCTCGAAAAGATATTCCTGGTAATTGCTTTTCTTTTCTTGTGTTTGGTTTCATGAAGAACTAGGGAGGAAAATCATTTTCTGTTCTAGATTCTGTTATTTTGATCCCTTGTTGGAATAATTGAAAATTATTCATCCAAAAGAACAGAAAACATACCCTGGGATCCTCTGTATCTATTTATACATACATATTTTGATACATATTCATCTGATTTCAATTCCATAATAATAATGCCAATATAATATAGGAATTGTGTTATTTGAATGAATATAGAATGAAAAATCTGTATCTTGTTTATCCTAGAGTACTAAATTCATTATTGTAAATTAGATCTCATAATCATCAAGTTATCAATGCATATGATCTGTTAGAAATGTTTGCACAACTCTTCATATAAAATTTAGCATTAGATGATGATGATGATGATTTTTTTGGTTTTTCAAACTTAAGCAAAATTATGAAGTAGACTGGGTTGCGTTTGAGTTTTTGTTTGACCACTGGATCTATAGGATAAATTGAGCTAATGGTTTATGTTGCACGGACTATTCTTTTTTTTAAGAAGTGCTCGTGTCTGACACTTGGACAAGGGGATATAACCTCTAAGAATCCTTCAAATACATGGAAAAATTTAGAAAAATCTTACCATACTTCTGTTGGATGCAGACCCACATCCGAGCAACATAGGGTTGAATAGTACGACAATGCTTAAGGTCAACAACTCGTAGCTTGTTCATCATGATATCAAATTGTTGACAACATTTTGCACCATAGCTTGATTTATATCTGCTCTTCGGTATTGGTTTGTTATCAGTTATGCCTTGCATTGTACATGAAGTTTTCGAATACTTATGAAGGGTCTTTTATCCCCATCCATATATTATACATTTACTAGATTGCTGATACACTCATTTTCCGTTCAAAACGTATCTTGCATTACAGCATGGTAGATTTTTGTGAAGAGAAAAGGTGGATTGGGTTAAGCAGTTGGGAGAAGGCCATTGGGAATCAACATTTGAATTCTTGCGAGTGATGTTAGGTGTTGCCACATAGAGAGGTAAACGAGTTTACCAGGTTTCTTCAAGTATTAATGCATGAAATTCGGAATGACGCTTGCTTGGGATGTTGACTGAACTATGTGAATATGGATGGCTTCCTTTTTTAGCTGAAACAGTGACTTTGTAAAGTATTTTTAACCGTATCCATGTCTATTGTATTCTTATTTACCGGGAAAAAAACATGGGAGGGTTGATTGATACATATTTTCTGTTATTTAATTTTTATTGCACAAGTCAATTAATCAGCATGGATAGTGCTTATCCAAAAAGGCAAAAATGGCATTGGACAACATCCAGGGGACAGGGTCAATCAAAAAGGGCTTTGCTCTTGCTGGATTATTATTATTATATTAGTTGCATAAAATGGCAGAGCCATTACTGCCTGCCTTCGCCTTTGTTGTTTTTTGCGGCGCCTAACTTGGTAATAATTGAACAATGTTGTGATCTTATTGTGAGACAAACAACGTTTCTAGTTGTGGATATATCTTACCATACACAGATGTAGAATTGGGTCCCGACTATATGGTGCAATTTTTGTTGAATCCCTTTATTTTTTTTTTGAATCCCTTTATTATTAAAAATTATAAAAAGGTTTAATGATCATAGGACAATACTTTTTTTGAAATTTTTAAATATTAAAAATTATAAAATAGTTATTTGACTATTTAAATGTTTTAAACTCATTCTTTTCGTTGAAAAATCAAGTATCGTCTAAAATGGATGTTAACATGTTGATTAAGATATGATAAAATCATATCTTAATAATGTTTATTGCATCGTCGTTGCTTTTAAACAGTAGTTGGATGGTATATTTGTTAGGAAATAAAACAAGTAATTTTCTTATAACCAGATTAGTGAGAATGTGAAATAAAAACAGAAAAATAATATCCGAAATTAATAACGGAGTTTAGCCAATTTTGCCTTGCGGATCTTTTACTAAAGAGAGAAAAATTACAGGTTTTTACAAAACACTCACAACTCACAAGAATACTCTCTAAACTCTTTAGTATTGGGAGAAAGAAATGATTTGGGATGATTTTGAAGTTAAATGGGCTAGGGTATTTATAGTTGAAGCTTAAGGATTAATCTTGTATATATCCTAAAGTGCAGGGACTAAAGTTACAATTATCCCATGCTAAAAAATTCAACAAAATTAAATACACCGAATTCGATACCCAATCCACCGAATTCGATGTCCCCTTTTTGACCTTCAACAATCTCTCACTTGAAGACTGATTTTAATCAATCTTCACACATCGATCAATGCAGCAATATTTCTGGTCTTGTTACTCTAGCATGCCAACTGAAGTTGAACACAACTTCAGTTTGTCCGCAGTCACTGTTTTTGTTAATATGTCTGTCGGATTTTGAGCTCCACTAATCTTTTCAAGTTTCAAAATCCCATCTTCTAGAAGAGACCAGATAAAATGATATCACAATTGTATGTGCTTCGTCCTAGAATGAAAAGACGGATTCTTCCCTAGATGGATAGCACTTTGACTATCGCAATACAAGACATTGTTTTATTGTTTCTTGCCTAAATCTTCCAAGAAACTTTGGAGCCAAACCATCTCCTTGTTGGCTTCCGTAACAACGACGTATTTTGCTTCGGTTGTGGAGAGAGAAACTATCTTCTGTAATTGAGAAACCCAACTCACTGCGGTACCTCCTAAAGTATAGACATACCCTATAGTGCTTCTTCTGATGTTAACATTTTCGGCTAAGTCAGCATCTACATAGCCTGTCAGTATCGTATCTCCACCTTTGAAACAAAGTGCTTTGTTTGTTGTACCCCGCAAATATCTGAGGATCTATTTGATTGCTTCCTAGTGTTCCTTGCCCGGATTATTCATGTATATGCTAACAGCTCCCATTGCTTGAACAATATATGGTATAATATAAAGGATGACATACATCAGACTTCTAATTGCTGAGGCATACGGCACCTTCACCATGTGTGCAGGTTCTTCCTCCGTCTTTAGTGACTGTTCTTTGGAGAGTCTAAAATGAACACCTAAAGGTGTACTTACTGGTTTAGCATCTTGCATATTGAACCTGGCGAGTACTTTGTTGATGTACTCGGCCCATGATAACATCAAAGTCCCCGACTTTGTGTCTCTCTTAATCCTCATCCCAAGAATATGCTTTGCAGCGCCCAAATCTTTTATTGCAAAATGCTTCGACAATTTTAGCTTCAAGTTTATAATCTCTTGCATGTCTGAGCCTGCAACGAGCATTCATCAACGTACAACAATAAAATAATGAAGTTGTTGTCGAACTTTTTGATGTAGCAACAATGATCTTCTTGGCATCTGGTAAAACCACTGCTACCCATGAAGCTATCGAACTTCTTGTACCACTGTCTAGGAGCTTGTTTTAAACCATACAAGCTCTTCTTCAACCTGCATGCCAGGTTTTTCTTGTCTGCCTCTATGAAGCTTTATGGCTGCCTCATATAGATTTCTTCCTCCAAATCACCATGAAGGAAAGTTGTCTTTACATCTAACTACTCAAGATGTAGATTCTCTGTAGCTACAATTTTCAACACCAGTCTGATTGTAGATAGTTTCACGAATGGAGAGAAAATTTAATTGCAGTTAATACCTTTTTTTGCTGAAAACTTTTGACAACCAATCTTGCTTTGTAGCGCTTTCTCCCATCGTGCTCTTTTTTGATCCTGTAAACCCACTTGTTATGGAGCATTTTCTTGCCTGATGGTAATTCAGCTAATTCCCACGTCTGAATTGACATAAGCGAATCCATCTCATCTTTCATGGAAGACTCCCACTTACCTGAATCCTCCACCTGCATTGTTTCATCATAGCACTCTGGTTCACAATTGTCAGTCAGCAACAAGTAGTGCAAAGACGACGAATAACGTTAGGTTGGTTTAGGAATTCTAGAGGAGCGTCTCAGTTCTGGTGTGCCTGGTTCTTCTTTAACTTCTTCAGGACTGATCTGAACTTCATTTCCAGAAATCTCCTCAAACTTAGCAAATTCCTTTGTTTCAGCTTCGGTATTAGAGCTACTTGATTCTATGGTTGACCTGTCTTTGTACATCACATTCTCATTAAAAATGACATCTCTTCTTCTGATGATCTTTCAATTTTCATAGTCCAAAAACCGGTAACCGAACTCATAACCACCATAACCAACAAAGACACATTTGTTGGACTTGACATCAAGTTTATTTCTTTCAGCAGAATTTATATGTACATAATAAATACAACCAAACACTCTTATATGTGAGAGGTTTATTTCTTTCTTGCTCCAAACTTCCTCTGGTATTTCATCATTCAAGGGAACTGAGGGCCCACAGTTGATCATGTAAGCTACAGTGTTGATAGCTTCAGCCCATAGCAATTTGGGCAAGCCGGTATATATCCTCATACTTCTGGCACGTTCATTCAGAGTTTTGTTCATGTGTTCTGCTACGTCATTCTGCTACGGTGTCATAAGAACTGTTGTCTCCATCTTGATCCCATTATTTGTGCAGAAATCTCTGAATCTACTATTTCTGTACTCTCATTCATTATCAGACCTCAACCGCTTGACTTTCAAACTAATCTCATTTTCCACCATGGCCTTCCATTTTCTGAAGGTATCAAAGACTTATGATTTCTTCTTTAGAAAATAAACCCACGCCTTTCTTGTAGAATCATCGATGAAGGTGACATAATATAGTGAGACTGCAAGAGATGGAACTGGAGATGGTCCTCATACATCAGTATGAACCAACTCTAACTTTTTAGCCTTGGGTGTCTTGCCAATCTTTACAAAACTGACTTTCTTTTGTTTTCCAAAAATGCAATCCTCACATAGTCCGACATCTATATTTTTTAGATCCAGCAGCTTCTCTTTTGACAAAAGTGTCTTCATCTCTTTCTCGCTCATATGGCCAAGCCTTTGGTGCCATAGGTTTGATTTTCCATCAACATCTGCTACTGCAATGATATTCTTAAAGTTTGAGGTTACATGGAGCGTACCAATCTTCTTACCACGAGCAATGACGAGTGCTCTTTTGGTAATTTTCCATTCACAGCCTGAAAATGTTGTACTATATCATTCTCCATCAAGTTGTCATGCAGAAATCAAATTTCTTTTGAGGCCAGGAATATGTCTCACTCCTTTCAGCTTCCAGGTGGTCTGGTTTGGCAACTTTAATCAGATGTCTCTTTTTCTGACGATCTTCAAAGTTTCATCATCAGCTAGATGAACCTTCCCAAAATCACCACTGACATAGTTCTCCATGATTTCTTGGCATGGGGTGGAGTGAAAAGATGCCCCTGAATCCAAGATCCATGATTCAATCAGATTGTTGACGCTTAGAATCATGGCATCACCAGTCTCCTCTGTCATGTTGGCAAATTCTTGTGTGCTGATATCTTTCTTCGGTACTCGATAATCTCTTTTAAAGTGACCCTTTTTGCCACAATTATAACAGTTAAAAACTTTACTTCACGTTCTTGATTTTCCCCTTCTAGATTTTGATCTGCCACGATTTGGATTTCTTTCTAAAGTTCTCCCTCTAGACTCCGTGTGCAAGGCTGAAGAGCTTGATGCTTCACCCGATTCTCTCCGTCAAATTTCTTCACTCAATACCAGATCCCGAACATCGTCGAATTTCAATTTACTGTTTTTCGACGAGCTGCTGACTGCTGTAACAGTAGCATTCCAATTTTCTGGTAGAGATGATAAGAGAATTAAAGCTCGAACTTCATTATCGAATTCAATTTCCACGGAACTCAACTGGGTTGTGATTATGTTGAGTTCATTTAGGTGTTTAGCCACTGATGCCCCTTCCGCCATCCGCAATTTGAATAATCGCCTCATCAAGTGAACTTTGTTTGAGGCCGATGGCTTCTCATACATATTGGAGAGAGCCGCCATAAGACTCACCGTAGTCTTTTCCTTTGCTATGTTGAAAGCAACATTGCGGGATAACGTCAGTCGGATAATTCCGATGGCTTGTCTGTCGAGAAGAGCCCAATCTTCATTCTTCATACCCTCTAGTTTCTTTCCTGAGAGAGGTTGATATAGATTTTTCTGGTACAGAAAATCTTCAATCTGCATCTTCTAAAAGCCAAAGTCCGCACCATCGAACTTCTCAATTTTCATCTTCCCTTCGTCTGTAGCCATCGCTCCCACTCGAATCTGGCTTCTTTTGGATCGTTTCTGACAATTCTTGCGAACCAC